GCTGCCATATTCGTTTTCAGGAGCCAAAAATACATCAAAAACACGTGGTCGTTTGTATGATTTCGAATATGCAGTTCATCCGAAGGTTTACCATTTAGACTAATTTATTAATTAAAAATATGCTTACTTGAAAATAACCTATTACATTTATAAAAATGCATTCGAATATTCCAAAAATGTATATTAATTCGGTGATACTGAATCTGTCTGTTTGGTATTTGCATTAATATATAGCTAACTAATATGTATGTATATCTACGAAAATAATAGAATAGGTTGTTAAGAGGATGAAATAAAAAAAAATGCAAATATTGTTTTGAAATATTTTCAAAAATACTCAGAGACTATAATCCGATTACCTACGAAAAATATTTAACTCCTATACACTTTAAAAGATTTTATTTTTGACTGAGTCTATACATACATCGTATATATCATTAATTTCCGTTCTGTCTGCGTTAATTATGCAGTCAACATTAGTTAATTCATTATTAATTTTGAAATCCATAATTATCGTATTTCTCGAATATATTTGAATTTAAAATATATGTTATAACATAAAATTTCATACGATCAATCTCAACACTGCTTGAATTTTCTTTATACCACTAATGAGGATTGGGTAGTGCTAAATTAAAAAGTTAAAAGTTAAGTTAAAAAGTTAAAAAGTTAAAAAGTTAATTAATTTTAATTTAACTTAGTTACATTTTAGACTCCTAACTTTTTAACTTTATTTAGTTACATTTTATCGGTAACTAATAACTTTTTATTAATTTTTTTAAAGTTAAGTGTCAGACACAATACGAGCTACACGTAACCAACGATACGAATTCCGGCCAGTTTGCAGCACGCGATCAGCGCCTTCATCGACGGTCGATGGCGCTGACCGCGTGCTGCAAATCGGCCGATGTTCGCATCATTGGTTACGTGTGGTCACTGGTTACGCGTTACGCCACGCTGTTCCGTGTTGATGGATGGCGCTGTTGACGTCCTGCAAGCGGACACGAGTTTGCATCACTGGTTCTAACTTGCAGTGTTGCAGTAGCTTGTAGTGTCACTTATAGTTTGCTGCATTTATTCGGTTCTAATAATAAGAGTTCGAGGTTTTGTGCAAAAACGCAATGAGTGTTGACATTGATAATAGTGATTCGTCTACGTCGATTTTTAATTCAAATGATTTGTCGCAATCCGTAGACGATTGCGAAAACGTGCTATGGTCTCACCTTGGCGATTTTTTCGAGTTGGAGACTCATGATAAAAAAGCGAAAAATTGTCATTTTTATGCTCATTATGTAAACCTGAGAAAAAATACATATCGGCGTCGATATCTTCAAACTCGAATTTGAGAACACACATCAAGGTAAGTAAGTTATTAATATAATAAAATAATAAATACATTAAATAGTCAGACCGCGGGAAAGAACCACTTTTTGTAGGCCTTCTATATATTGAATTATATTGGAAGAAATCCCTCAAAATCTGGTTTTTTCCCGCGACCCGATCGTATTTCAGGTTGTTAAATTTTCAATATCACTGATTTTTATACTACTTTCTCAGAGTTTACCCTATTTTTATCGTTATAACGCGCGGTGGCTACAACAATGGGCGAGTTCAAGACAGCAAAGCGGCTAGGTACGCTTGCCGAGCAATTGAATATAATTGGTTGTTACTTATAGATCCAACCAATCTGTCAACCAAACGGCGCGCGGCGCTTGGAGTGGAAATAAACAGCACCGCGATCCGGACTCTGATAATTAGTAATGTATAAATGATTTCTTGATTATTATATCCTAATATTTATCTCACTGAAAGTTAAAATGATTCTTCCTTTCACGTTATACAAACACAATACGCTAATTTCGTCCGATATTGTAATTTGTAGGTAATGGGACCTATTGCCAAAGATCTGGATATCTTACAAAGAGATAAACATATCTTTATGGGATATCTATTACTTACGCTGGTATCAATTGAAGAGCATTTAAATACGAAATTAACTGAGGTGCTTTATGTAAAACCATTATTAAATGCTTTGCTAAAAGGTATTCGTAAAAGGTTTGTATTGATGATATTATAATATGACTAGATAAATAGAGAATTTAGAAAAATATATACACTAGCAAATGTGTGCTTCATTGAATTTAGCTCGAAAATTAATTTCATGAGTATCTCAATTAAAAGTTCAGCAAATTTGGCATCAAACTGTATTTTTATTGTATTGAAATATTTGTCAAACTTCATATAAAAGAGATAAAAAATCATGAAATATGTCACTGATTAATTTTATTATTCCCCTCTTCATATCATATAATATAACAAAATATATCAATATTTTTAGGTTTCATCATCTCTATAAGTGCAATGAACTGAGAATAGCTATCTGTTTGATACCAGATTTTAAATTGCGTTGAATACAGAATGAAAAAACAAAGCTTACTGATTTATTAAAATCGATTGTTCAGGAATTTAATCATGAAAACTATGTAGTTTATTCAAGTACGTCCAAAAAACAAGTTTTAAATAAAACTGACAAAACTGATGAGTTTTTTGTATTTAATAAGACGCTCGACCAGAACCAAAATGATAAATCGACAATTGAATATATTACTCAAACATATTTGTCGACTGATATGTTTGCCACGGAAAAAAATTTCCCTAAGGCACTTAAATGTTTTTTTATAAAATGTAACATGTCAATACTTTGGCTCACGTTGAACGGCTGTTCAGTGCAGGAGGACTCATTTTCGATAATTTGCGAGGAAAAATGTCCGACAAAAATTTCGAAATGGCTTTATTACTTAAATTTAATAATTATATTAATTATATATGAACAAAATGTTTAAAGTATATACAACAATCTAATGTAAACAACTGTCTAATGTATTATTGTCTAATACAAAACAGTATATATATATACTGTATATAACAGTATATATATATATACTGTATATAACAGTATATAACAGTATATTATTATAAAAAAAATTAATATAATAAAATATTGGATATGTTCTAAAATCTAAATAAAGTTTTTTTTTAATTGCCATTTCCGTTATTATTAAGACTGAAACCCTGAAATCATGAAAAAAAAAAATTTTTTTTTAACTTTTAACTTTTCAATTACTTTTTTTATTAACTTAACTTTTAATTCAATTAATTTCATTATACATTAATTTGTATTTTAACTAAGTTAAATTTTCAAGGTGTTAACTTTAACTTAACTTAGTTAAAAAAAAAAGTAACTTACCAACCCTGCCACTAATGATTATATACATATATTATTCATAATACAATTCCAAAGTTCAAATTATATCCTTGAATGATACTTTTAATATATCTCAAAAGAATTATTGTTTAATCTTTACTGTACCTCACAATTACCGTAAAATATTGTTTATCCATTTATCAAAATCGATTAAATTAAATCAGCTCCAAATTTATCAAATTTATTTCATTTAAAGTTATGTGAATGTCGTATTATAAAAAATTCACGCAGTACAATCGGCGTCGCTGAGGAAGGTATTAAAAAACTTGAAACTTGAAAATAAAACGATCGACACACTAGTTTACAAAAGAGTAATCACCTGCGAGAAGCTCCCGTTCAGGTGACGAGTCCCTGGAATTACTATCCTCATGATGCGAAGAACTGCTTGCTCTACTGATATCAATTCGCGGCGTGCTAGGTGTTTTGAGCGAACTACCAGGCGTTGCCGGCGTGGTGACTTCGACGATACCCGGCATTCGCCCTGCCGCTACCGCCGCCGCCGCCGCCGATTCTCCCTGCATTCAAATTCGTTTCCTGGTTTGTAGTAGCACAGTCACACGGGGTTGATTGGTTGGTTGTTGGGCTCAGGTCGCGGGCCAGCTTCTCGCAGTGACTCACAAAACTCACGGACGATCGAGAAGATTAATCTCGAGATCGCACACATACATTGGGATTCAAATTCAGGATTTCAGAGAGATAGAAAGAAAAAAAGAAAAAACGAAAAATAAAGATAAGAAAGAAATATAGAGATAAAGAGTTATGGAAAGAGAGAGGGAGAGAGTGGAATAGAAAGAAAGAGGGAAGAAGAGGGGAGAGAGAATAAGAGGATGAGGCCGGGATGAATGGAGGAGAAAGGGTGGAGAGAAGGAGGGGAGAGAGCTCGGGCTGGACGATTTAGTAGAGGAAACTCAGGGTAGAACTCACGTTTTCAACTTCCTCAGACAAGTCCTCGAAGGATGCTATCGGCGCTGGTCCAAGTTTCTTTTGATGAACATTCGGCAAACCTGACGCCATTTTTAAACACTCAGATCACGATGATACTGAAAAAATGTGAAAGATCAAAATCAGATATTTTTGCAAAATTAGACGTTTTTATGCGGAACTTTTAACGAAACTTTAAACGAAAACACGATCTTGTTCCGGTCTCGATAGCGTGTAGAAGCTAGAAAGTACGTGTTGTAATCGCCGCCTCAGTCAGTTATTACCGCCTCAGTCAGTTATTACTCTCATTCTTGCCGTTATGTTACACGACAGTTCTCAAGTATTATGTAATACTACGAGGGCAAGTCAATAAGTTTTTAGAAAAACATAATAAAACACATTTTTTTTTGATCGATTCATTTTTATTTCTCAACGTAATCTCCTTTCAGCTTGATACCAACTTGATCCAACGATTCTCCAACTTTTTCAAGCCATCCGAATAATGATTTGTCTAACCCGTCAAAATAAGCCTGTTTCGGCGATGAGCTGCTCTCTGGTGATGAATCTCTTTCTTCCGAACCATTTCTTCAGGTTTGGAAATAGTCGCAGGAGGCTAAATCTGGCGAATATGCTGGATGGGAAAGCAATTCGTAGCGGAATTCGTTGAATTTGGTCATCGGTGCCGGGCACATGTGAACCCGTGCATTGTGTTGATGGAAGAGCACTTTCTTCTTCGCCAAATAGGGACGTTTTTTCTTTAAAATATTGTTGAAACGGTCCAATAAGGCTGTGTAGTAATCACCATCGATCGTTTGCTTCGACGGAAGGTAATCGATATAAACTATACCGCGTGCATCTCCCAAAAAACTGTGGCTATCACCTTTCCGGCCGACTTCACCTTCTTCGGAACTGGTTCACCCGGTGAAGTCCATTGTTTTGACTGTTCCTTCGTCTCGGATGTGAAGTAATGGATCCATGTTTCGTCCACAATAATGAATCGATGCAGAAATTTATCTGGATTACGTTGAAACATCTCCAAACATCGTTTTGAAATCGTCACACGGTCGCGCTTATGGTCCACAGTGAGCAACCGCGGCACTCATCTTGCCGATAGCTTTTTCATACCCAATTGTTCGTGCAAAATCTGGAGACATGGTAGTGTCTCGGCGCTAAGCCAAGCCCATCGAATCTTTTTTACGAATAATACATAAAATTTTGATAAATTTAATTAAATTAACAGAATTTAACTTGGCGCCACAATTGTTGATATCAAACCTTTTATACAGATGAAACATATATATCATTAGATTTAGTAAATTTTGTGATATTAAATTAACAGAATTTAACTTGGCGCCACAATTGTTGATATCAAATCTTTTATACAGATGATACATATATCATTAGATTTAGTAAATTTTATGATATAATGATTTTCATGTAATAATTTTTGAAGGGGAATAAAGCGATTATAACTTGGGTTGGAATGTATCATATACAAAGAATTTCATCAAACAGCAAACGTAATTAGTCATCAGTTCGACGGCCGATTAAGTAATTGACGTTGGTGAAACCGGCCCAAATGGTGGTTTCCATACGAGAAGCACGCACGCTTAGCGCTTTTTTTACCTTTTTTTTAAAAAGGTAAGTTTGTATACAATTAAAGTTACTATTATTCAATTAAAAAATCCAACCACCACCCCCATCGTCTTATAATAGTAATATCAAAATATCTAGACGACGGTTTTCTATATAAAATTTAACTTGATAGAATTTAACTTAGCATCAATTGTTGACATCAAATCTTTATACGATAAGATATACGTATATTTAGGTTTTTGAAATCATTGTGACATGTGATATGTCTGTGGCCTCAACAAGTTCGCGCACTTTCACTCGTCGATCAGTCAAAACAATATCGTGGATTTTATTGATAATTTCTGGCGTAGCAGCCTGAATTGGACGTCGCGAACGAGGTGCATCACATGTGGATGTATGACTACGTTTAAATTCATTCACCCAATTGTATACAGTCGCAAATGCTGGTGCAGTATGCTATGAACATTATCCAACTCGGCTTTGATTTCTTTTGGTGTTAAACCTTTCATATGTAGATGTTTGATCACTATACGAAATTCGTTTTTTTCCATTTTGTAAAAAATACAAAGGTTGTTTGCTTTAATCGTCTACAGAAACGAACACGCGACAAATTCCGTTCAAAATTTAACAGTAATTAGCTAAAAGATACTACTTGTCAAAAAGTAATGTGACATGACACTGCGAGTGCCCTCTGACAGATTTTCTAAGAACTTATTGATTTATCCTCGTAACATCAACAGGTATATGGTATATCATGTGATGCTTCTCGCCACAATTTCTCGCTTGATAAACCTCAAAAAACTGCAAACGGTGTTCTTATTAAATAATAAAGGCATTTGTTTGCCACCATGTTTAGTTATAAAATAAAATTTTTGACACATGTTACATGTGATATTTAGATACTTATTTTTTTTTTGCTTTGCAATTAATTAATATCTAATACTATAATAATCGTACTTTATACTTACTACAGTATTCAAAATTTTTTTATTCGTATAGTTATACCGTATATACAGGGTGTTTCCAAATTAAATCGCAAAACTTCGGGAGCGTGTAGAGGAGTAAAAAACTAAGAAAAAAAGTCCTATAGACATATGCTCGTTTTTGCTCCGTTTCAGAGAAATCGAAAAAAAATGTTTATATTTCTTGCCATATCTAGCACCGACATATTTGATTACATTTTCCACTTTCTGTTATGAATTTGTCAGTCGCTCTTTGAAAGCCTTTAACAGTAGATGAATTTTGTCTTTTGCAATATGCCGCGTACGTATTCTAATAGTGAATATGCTGATATGGTTTTTAAAGAGGTGCACATTTCGAACAAAATCTTCATTAAAAAGTTTATAAATAAAATAATTAAAATAATAAATTAAATATATTTTTTTCTTTTTTCGTGATTTCCTGCGAAACAAAGCAAAAAGGAGCATATGTCTATAGGACTTTTTTTCTTAGTTTTTTACTCCTCTACACGCTCCCGAAGTTTTGCCATTTAATTTGGAAACACCCTGTATATTTATAGTGTTAAAGAAACGATAAATATCATTATTCTTTATATATTCTATAGATTACTAATTGAAACAAGAGATTTATTTTCATGATATTTTCTACTTTTTTAACGCTGATTGCATTAAATATTAACAAAAAAAAATTCGTATTTATTGTAATAAAAATTAATGTCACTACTAAATTACGTTATGCTTGTGAATTATTATTATAACTAGTAGAGTTAAAACGTTTCAAGCGAAGGATGAGATTGATTACACACTATTTCTGATATCGCATTTTCTAAGCCCTATTTTCACAATTTATGGTTACCTAAAGATAATTAAAGGTTACTAAGAAATTTATTAATGGATTTCATTGAATCTCTAGGTAACCTTTAATTTTTATAAGATAATCACATATTGTGAAAACGGGCCTAAAAAGAATAAGTATTTTCTTGACGATAGTATAAAAGTCGACTACAACACTATCCAACGAATCGTTGTGCAAAAGGCCGAGCATAAAAGATATGATTGTCAAATAAACTAATCTAACATATAGATTAAAAATTTAAATAATAATCGCATTTTCGCATAATTTATCTGTATTGTTCTTTTTATAGTATAATTTCTTACACAAAGATAATCAACGAAAATCTGGGGAAACGCACAGGATAACAATAGACTTATCGAATGCAAGAAAAACAACAGAAAAGAAATCACACACACATATACACACACGCGCACACATTCTTTAATTGATTTCCCCTAACAGCACGTTCTCAGGATGATCCTGAATATGTCCTGAATACCTTGTGATATATAAATATGGGATATATTTAGGACATTGTACTAAGATGACCTTTTTTAAATTTTAGAAATTTTAGAAAAGGTCCTTAGCCCTAATAAATAAGCGCCTAAAAATATCTTTAACACCTCCGTAACACCTCCTAAATATCTCCTGTGAAAACGTCCTGTGGTCTATCAAATGAACACCTCATTATGTCCTATGTACAGTCGGTTACTAAAAGATTGCAATACTTTCTTTTCGATGGGTTTCGGAATGCAGCTTGATCACCGAGCGATTGGTTCTTTTTCATGGATCCACAAATAAGGTCGCTTGGTGAGTAGGCTGCAATCTGAAATCCATAAAAAAAGTGTTGCAACCTTTTAGTAACTGACTATACATTCATAACAGGACATCCAAATCCGAAGTCCTAAAATGTCTGTTTGTAATCCTTGGGATCTATTTTTGGATTTTTCTAATATTTCAGGTCTGCCACTAAATGGTGTCGTTTTTTGCATTTAAAATTTAGTTATGATCTCCATATGTCCAAATTTATGTAAACTCAGACATCATAATTATTATTTATGCTGAATTTTCGTATATAGTGCGAGATTTGATTGTATTTTTTTGTACCAACAAAGTTAATGAATATAATAATATTTTGCAAAATATTTTAATCTTCAAATCCAGCACACTTTATCCGAGACATATCCTGCAATCGTTCTTAAGATCGTTCTTTAGAACATCTCTTAGAGGCCTGTATGCTGCCTATATGCTGTAATAGAGGTAATAGAATTGTTCCATGGAGCATATCTTTAGGACTTTGAATTTGGACGTCCAGTAAACGTATGTAGGACATAACGAAGCGCTTATTTCATAGTCCTTGAACTACAACAAAACAGTTCTATGGACGTCTCGTTTAGCTGACAGGACATCTAAGTCCAATTTTAAGACCTCCACTGTTGCTTCATGCAAACTACTAGTCTATGGACTATTATTTCGTAAATATGTACAGATTGCATAACTTTTATATGAAACAAATGTCACGCCGTGACAGCTCTGGAGCGCCATATTAGACTAATTGTAAGAAATGATAAAGATTTCAATTTCGAATTTTTTTTGTCGTTCTCAGTATAAACTCCACCTCATAGACACGTAGATATTAATGCTTTAATTCTGAAAAAGAATTTTCAAATGATCAGTAAGAGAGGAAAAACGTAATTGTTAGGGGCAGAATAAAAGGAACAAGGAACAGAGAATAAGAATTTCAACCTATCAGAAACTGTGTAATCCACAATACATAATTTCTGATAGGTTGAAATTCTTATTCTCTCTTCTCTGTTTCCTGTTCCTTTTATTCTGCTCCTTACACAAAAATTATAAGTTAATAATTATCAATATGGCTCAATCAGAATAAATCAATAGTTAAAAGAAAGGGCTACGAGCCAGTGTTATAAGGTTTAATCGATAATACAGATGACTTTAGGATCTCCTTAAAAGCTGAAAAGTCTTAGCGTTTGTAGGATTTCTGCCATATTAACTAACAAAAATTATAGTAATTTCAATGCTTGCTTATTCATGACTCGGCTTTCGCATAATCATGGCGAAGAAATATAATTCAATGAGCAAATTCCGCAAAGCGGAAAATCCCTTTGAACTAATCGGAATCGATCAGCCGGCCGAAAAGCTCTCGACAAACACAGCTTGTCGTTAGAAAGATCGATCGATGGGTTTGCCGGGACACTTATCATGGAACAAGATCGAAATGTTTTCTAGAGAAAACGAAATAATTTCGATCGGACTCCATTCCGATTTATTCCATGATAGGTATCCTGATCATCGTTGACGTATGCATGCTTGTGCACACGCATGTAGGTACATAGTTGTTGACTGTATAGTATATTACACTGCCTGACTGACAGGTTGATTGGCTGGCTAACCGATTGACTGGCTATATCTAATTTACACGGTGCGAATTGGCATCACTGAAATATAATACTACTGGAACGAGCGTGGTCCCACGCTGCCTTTATTAACAATGGTCCGAGAGAGCGTTCCAAGTGGTATCTTTATCCTGTTCCAACCTGCACTCAGTTATAATTGCGCATGTGCAATAGATGGTATTGCACATGTGCAGTCATAGTTCAGTATAGATTAGAAAAGGATAAAGATACCACCTGAAAATTCAAAATAAGACGCCAAGTTCACACAGGGGCAACTCCGTCTAAAAAAGTTTCCGGCCACAATTTCTTATAGGATTTGAAAAGATACATAGTTCTACAAAGAATTCTGATCTAACATTGTTATTTTGATTATTAAACAATTTTTTCACTAAAAAATAGCCCTTAGAAAGAACGAAGAAACACTGTCTGATTTCAAAGAGTTCTGTCAGTTTTATGGTACTTTTCGTATAGTTCTGAATGTGTCCTAACGCTTTCCGAAGAGTTCCGGTGATATAAATAATTTGTTAATATTTTAAACAATTTTTATCACTTTTAGAAAGCTGCGAACTTCTAGATTAAAAAATAATCTTAATTTTAGGAGTTAACAACAGTATTAGTGTAATTCATTAATCAGCTGATTAAATAAAAACTATACTATCTCTCGTATACACATATAACCTGAAAGGCGCTTTCCTTGGGTGACAAAAATTGTTTAAAAAATTAACAAATTATTTATATCATCGGAACTCTTCGAAAAGCGTTAGGACACGTTCAGAACTACACAATGAGTACTATATATCTCACAGAACTGTTGGAAATCGACTAGCGTCTCACACATATAGCCTGAAAGGCGTCTTCCTCGGGTGATAAATATTGTTTAAAAAATTAACAAATTATTTATATCACTGGAACTCTTCGGAATATGTTAGGATACATTCAGAACTATACGAAAAGTACCATGAAACTGACAGAACTCTTTGAAATCAGACAGCGTCTCAGCTTCGTTCTTTCTAAAGATTATTTTTTAGTGAAAAAAATTGTTTTATAATCAAAATAACAATGTTAAGTGTCAGAACTCTTTGTAGAACTATGTATCTTTTTAAATCCTATAAGAAACTGTGGCTGGAAACTTTTTTAGACGGAGTTGGCCCTGTGTGAATTGGCCGTCTCATTTTGAATTTGGGTTTCTCGGCTTTAATGGCCGGAACTATTTATTTATCCTATATAGAACTATAGAACTATTGAAAATAAATTCAGAACTCTCATTATTTAATGAGTTTCCACCAAGTGAGACGCTATCTTCACACACACGGGTTACTGACCATGCAAATTGGACAGTAATTGGCTTTGCTAGTTATTTCAAATATTTTTGTTCTAGTATTCACTGATATTCCCTCACTACACAAATAGGCCAGCTGCTGACCCTTTGTGAATGCACAAATCAGTGTGGCCAGTAGTTATATGTCCAAATAGAATGTAGTATGTATATTCAGGAGAATTACGCCTAGATAACTCTAGACTATAGTTTACATTACGTATACTATAGCAAAAGTGTATGCCGGAGTTATCTAGTCGTAATTCTTGAAAGCATCCCTGAGGTAACTAAAGCCCGATTTACATGGTACAAGCTACTATCTCGCCAGTAAAAAAAAGTAGCTAGCCTCCGAATTAAGTGATCAGCCTCTCAGTCCTTACAATGTTGACCTTTGTTATTTACACGATGCAAGTTACTAGCTTGATAGTAAATTAGTGATACTGGCCCCCAAACTAGATGACTAGTTATCTCAGCGATTTTCTATTAGGCCGAAATTAGACTACGCATTGAAGATTGAGATCGAAGATTGAAAATTTAAATTGAACCAATGAAGACAAAAAAATTTTAGCTTCTTTTATTTGGATTGATCAAATTTCGATCTTTCAGTCTTCAATCTCAATCTTCAATGCGTAGTCTGATACCGGCTTTACATACTCTGTACAGCTACTATCATATTATAGCTATACTGATTTGTACATTCGTAAAGAGCCAATAATTGCAGGTCTATCTGCATGATATGGAAAGGCCAATGAAGAAAAATATTTGAAGTAACTGCTTTGTCCAAGTTGGCCAAAATTGGTCTTACTATTTTATATTTAACTTGTACGATCGGTAACTCCGACCAATCTATTTACATAAAGCCAATAGCCGATCTTCAGCTACTAACACTACTATCTCGCACGCCAACTCGCATCGTGTAAACCGAGCATAAATCAAATTAAGCGCGAAATTACGCCGATCAGTGGACGAAATTCACGCATCGCCGTGATTAATATGCGTAGAAAACAAAAATGATAATACGAATGATAGTAGTTATCACCGATTATTCGATCGTTTGCCCGCCTGTTCCAAAGTTCATTTAAGACATATCCATTCGAGAAGAAACGTCACTGCAGGTAAGATCGAATCACCTTGGAGAAAGAATAAAAAAATGTAAAAAGAAATATACGAGGGTCGTCTGAAAAGTTTTGAGCCTAACATAGAAACAAGTAATTTTTCGGTCAAATTCAATTTTATTTTTCCACATAGTCTCCTTTTAAGTCGATATATTTTTTCCAGTAATGCTCCCACCCCTTTAATCCATTCAAATAATACTGAGTCTTGCTTTGCAAAATAGGCGTCTACAGATGCGA